GGGGAGTTCCTTAGCCCAGTCCAGGCTGGACGTTCCACACCAACAGGGCACCTCGTGGCTGTTTGTGCTGGTGGAGTCTCGCGCGCAGCCTGCAGCTGAGCACAACACTAGCTTCGGGTGCAGTGACCCCCACGGCCTTGGTCCCTGTCCTCAGTGCGCTCAGCCCAGAGGCAGCTTCCTGCTGTGTGCCCCTTGCCTCCTCAGAGGTGATAGTCACCGTGCTGTCCCTGCTGGCTCTCAGCAGCTTCGCACTCAGCTCGGGCCCCACCTCAGGTGGCCTGTCCCGCTGCCGAGGTCCCTCCAGGCCTGCCGCACCATTCCTTGTGGTCCTGGTCTGGCTTCCTCTGCCTGTGTTGGTTTGGAGGGGCTTGTCCTCCGCTGTGCTCGCAGGAGGTCATGCTTTGGAGGTGCTGTGCGTCTGAAAATCCTTTCTCCTGCGTCTCCCCTGGCCTCTGCTGAGTGGAGCAGTTGAGTGGAGCTCATTTTCCACTAAGACTTCTGAAATTCTTTCTTCACTGTCCCCGGGCCACCGAGATCGCTGCCCAGAAGCCCAGGCTGTAGTGACGCCAGATCCTTGGTACTTGCGCTGTGTGAGCTCTTCCCAGGGTGCCCACCCTGCTGCCTGACCTGTGCATCCTGTTTCCTTGCTGGTCCCCTCCCTCCCCTGGGTCCTGCTGCGATGCCTCCTTCTGCAGTGCGTACTTCCTGCCAGGCCTCCACTTTGCTTCTCATCCCTTTCCCCTCTGTGCCTTCATCTTCCCTTCCAGAAGACATTCTCCCTGTATCCCTCCAGCCTTCCCAGTAGGTCGTTTCTGAAAGTCCACTGTTGCTTCATGGCTTTACCTCTTTCCTGCCTCCTTTGGATGTGTCTGAGCTTTCTCCCGCATGGCTTCCGCGGCCTCCTGGCTTCTGTCTTCAGTCTTTTTAATGGCAGACACTGTCCCGATGCTGGCAGTCCCTTGGTGCATGGGCTGATGGCACAGCTCCGTTTTAAAGCACTTGCCTGTCAGCACGAGGCCCTGGGTTCATCCCAGCATCCCCCAGAAAGAAAACCCCCACCAACCCAGAGAGGAGGAAGGGCTAGGCTCTTGCTGGTACCTATCTGCAGCCCAAAGCCCATGGCTGAGTGAGTGGCCCTAGGCAGAGGTGTCCAGGAGCCGCTGCCCCTCAAGTTTGGGCCATGTGAGCCCTGATGGTGGGGTGGGGGTGGCGTGCGTGGTGTTCCACTGAACCCAGTGTGGGAATGTGTGAGGGCACGCCCTTCCTCTCTGACCGCTTCGGTGCCCGCTGGGAGGCAGACTGGGAGGCCGAGCACCCTGCTGGCCTTACAGCAGTGCTGGGCCAAGCAGCCACCACCACACCCTGTGACGGACGGGGCAGTGGCCCCTCACACGGTGCTGCACATGTAAGACTGTGTTTGGTGCTGTGGACGAGGCCTCCTGTGGAAAGTGCTGTTTCCGCTGGGCAAGAGCAAGTGCAGGCTGCACTGGCAGGTTTAGGGGTGCGGTGGCTATACCAAACCCCCAGAGCCCAGCGGGCAGAGCTTGTGGGCGGGAGGACACTTGCCAGGGGTGGGCAGGTGGTGTCAGCGAGGGCAGTGGAGCTGGCTGAGGGAAGATATGACCATCCCCGCCACAGCCGGAAGCCAGGCAACCATGCCCGGCAGGGGCTGGGGAGGCAGTGGGAGGGACAGGGCCTTTCCTATGTCCAGCCCCTTCGGCAGGGAGAGGACCCGGCAGCTCAGCACCTGCTATGCGGACTGGCTGGCCTCCTGCTGGGGCACTTCTGCACATACTGCACAGCTGCCAGCCGTGCCTCTTCCTCCCGAGTCACCTCTTCTCTGCCGTTTTCCCATGGCCCTGAACACTAGCAGGGTAGGGTCACTGCTTTTTCTGGTCTCTGGGTTAGTGTGGGGGCAGAGGCCAGCAAGGGACACTCACCCACTCTCCAACCCTGGGGCCTGTGTGTTGGGGCCAGCGGGTGTGACAGTGGAGTGAGTGACAGTGGGCATGTGGAGTGGGGGTCACATGGGCCAGGCCTTGAGCCTGAGCCCAGGAGAGACCCGTGGGCTCCGGACGCTGCCAGCACTGCTGGTAACCCAGGCTGGGACCCAGGCGGCGCCCTCAGAGCATGGAGACTTCGTCTGGCCAAAGACGAGTGGCCCTGGGACAGACGAAGCTGTGAGAAGTGGAAGGAGCCACCTGCGGACAGGGTGGGGCCGGCACTGTCCCCCGCAACCAGAAGCAGGGCCATCACCTGTCCTTGTGCACAGACAGGAGTCTTCCTGGGGTGTCGTGGCCCCTGAAGCATCTGGTCCGGTTGGCAGCCGCCTCAGCTGGGGTACAGGAAGGTGGGCAGTGCTTCCTGCTGCTCTTTCCTGTCCCCTGCAACTCAGCCTGCCTGCCTGTCTCTTGCCGCAGCGGCTAGGTATTAGGTGGGACCTTGGGCTGGCTCACCTGTGACTCTGAGGGGGCACTGCTGTGCCTGAGGGCAGCACCCAGCACCCAGAGTTGCCAGCTGCCCACCCCGGGCCCCACCGACACCACTTGGTGCCCTGGTTGCATTCCCTCCCTGAGGAAAGCCCCCTCCTGCTTGCAGCCTGCTGGGGTCACCCTGGTCAGCGTCTATGCCAGTCCCAATGACCAGATGCTGTGGGCGCTGGACAGCAGGTGGAACGTGCATGTCCGCTCCGGAATCACCGAGGAGATGCCCGTGGGCACTGACTGGGAGCATGTGCCAGGTAGGGATGCCCCAGCTGACTAGCCCGCCATCCCATGCATGGCCACGGGTGTCAGCAGGGTGTTGGTGGCTTCTGTGTGGGGTGCCACAGCCATGTGGGGCTGTTTGGATTGGCGGCTCCAGGACCCCGTCGTCTACTGGGCAGCCTGTCCCCCACTGCCCTGCTTCCTGCTCGGGCTTTGTCTCGTTTTTCCATTTTGCTGAGGCAGGCAGTCTCCCAGTGCTTTACAGGATGACCATTTCAGGCCACCCAGACCCTGTGTCTGCCTGCGGCTGTCATGGTGTGGCTCGCCTGCCAACTGGGCATCCTTCCACAGTGCTGACGTGGCACAGGACACCCTGCCCCACAGGCCACGCTGTGGCGAGCCTGGTGTCCCAAGCAGCCCAGGAGGGGCTGGGAGCTGAGCGGTGCCATCTGCCCACAGGGTTGCAGGCCTGCCAGCTGGCGCTGAGCACCAGGACCGTGTGGGCCCGCTGTCCCAATGGTGACCTTGCCCGGCGCTATGGCATCACAGACAAGAACCCTGCTGGCGACTACTGGAAGAAAACGCCCGGAAACGCGTTGTGTGTCACAGGCAGGTGCTGGGTGTGGTGGGTTCCACCTACCCTGGGGACCAAGGGCCAGGCCGGGCCGGGGTATCACGAAGAAACAGCTAGCACGTGGCCCTGTACCTGAGCCAGAGTCCAGGCGAGGCTAGTGTGGCGTACCCTGCAAGCTCTGGGCAGGTTGGGGTGCTGTGTGCTGTGTGGAGGCTGAAGGGAGGCCCAGGGCTGGATGTGGCTCATCCCAGGCCCCACAGCCAGCATGTGGCCATGTCCATATCTGGAGAGAGACCCCAGTGTCTGCGCCTGCCATGTGTTCACCAACTGCACCTGGCTGTCATCCCTGCAGTGACCTCATCAGACGAGCTGTGGGCAGTGGGCCCCCCCGGCTGCCTCCTCCAGCGGCTCACGAGGACATTCAGCCATGCACACAGCACCCCGAGGTGCAACCAGGTGGCCGACCCGCACACTGAGGACCTGGAGGATGAGTGGGAGGTCATCTGAGGCCCCAGATCTGTGAAAGCTGGCCTCGTGACACATGTCCACATCCAGCCACCCCAGCACCCACACTTGTTATCCATCTTGTTCCTGTCTTGTTCAAGAACCTATGGCCTTGGCTGAGTGCTCAGAGTTGTCACCGCCACGGCAGCACCTATGGCCTCTTGTAAGTGGCCTCCAGGTGGGTACGACCACTGTGTGGCTCCTCCCCTGAAGCCAGGCTCTGGTCACACCTGGGGCCTGTGTGCAGGACACGAAGGAGCCCCAGGCAGGAGCCGGGACTGTGGACACTGTGACAGCAGCTCCAGGTGACAGGCAGTCACTGCTCCCAGCATCACAGCCACAGGTCCCTGTCCCTCTGAGACGCAGCACCTCGGCCCTCTCCACAATGGGCCAGGCTGGACCAGGTCTCCTGTGGCACTGGGCTGTGTGCAAGGAGACCACAGTGCTACATACCTGTCACCTGCTGCCCCACCACCAGGACTACGGGTGCCAGAGACAGGAACTGCACACCAGGGCCGGGCTGGGTGACGTTGGACTGGTGCCACTGTGGCCGCCATAAAGCCAGACACCTGCTCCAGGCGGGACTGCTGACTATGGCCTCGTGTTTGCTGTATTACAAACCCATGTGAGATACCTCATCCCAAATCAGATCTTACCTTAGCAGAGAAACACCTGAGAGCAGCGAGGCCCCAACCTTCCCCATGCTGTCCAGCACCACCTGGCACCCTCAGGGCATTGAAGCCAGGGCCTGCTGGCCGTGGCCTGGCCTCATCACTGGGACCTGGGTTCTCGGGGTTGGTGGACATGCTGCCCTCTGGCACCCGAGCTCCAGCCAGGGCCCAGCGAGTCCTGGCAGCTACGGCTGCTGTTTTTAGCCACCTCTGCCTGGTGACACTCGATGCCTGCTTCTGCTGAGCAAGGCGTCGGGAGCCCAGGCTGCAGGTGGTGGCAGTGACACAGTGTGACAGCCACCAGCCATGTGGGGGAGGGCGAGAGGCGACCAGGCTGTTCCACTCCTTCACAGAGCCTGCCTGGGAGTCCAGTCAGCGCTGTGCCATCCTGGGCCCGGGACATAACTGCAGTTGAGCCAGGTCCAGTGGATTCTCTCAACTCCTTTTACCTTCAGTGTGCGTGCGGTTTTCTTCAGTTATGCTTTGAGATTGTGCAATAAACTTGACTTTTAACAGACCTGGGCAAGTCTAGGAGGAAGCTCCTCTCAGGTGCCCCCAAGGGCCCGGCTGGAGACCTGACCAGTGGTAAAATGTGTGTCCCATTTGCCCAGCTGCAGCCACCCCAGGATGAGGTGCACCCTCGGCGAGCACAGGTTGTCTTCCCACAGCCCAGGGCAGCGCTGCAGGAGCAGCAGGCAAAACCTTACCGAAGTGCATTATGGGAATTAACGCCTGAACCGTTGAGGTCAGACCTCATGGAGAAGGTGAGGCTGCCAGGACTGGGCATGGTGGTGCACTCCTGCAATCCCAGTGCTCTGGGAGGCTGAGGCAGGAAGATCACAAATCTTACCCCAGCTTGGGCAAAGTAATATCAAATGGATTAAAGAAACTTAGAAGAGGAAACAGTCTGACTCATGGATGGCAAGAGCCTTCCAGACTCAGAGTTTTAAAAAGGGCTGGGGATATTGTTCAGTGCAAACGCCATGGGTTTAATCCTTCTTACTGAAAATGAAAGAAAGGAAACCCAGGCCAGGGATTTAGCTCAGTGATTCCGCCAGTCTGCCTTGCAAGTGCAAGAACCTGAGTTTGTTCCCTGGTACCAAGGGAAAAAAAAGCCTGCCTCAAAAGAAAGGAAACCTAATTAGGAGGATTCACTCACACTCAGGACAGTAAGACACTTGTCTTTGGCAAGGCCCGGAAGGCGTAGATTGCTGTGTTCCGCATCACACTTGGATGCTTCCCTGTGCTGCAGAGGAAGGAGGGCCAGAGGACCCTAGGACCCCAGGCCACCAGCACCTGCACACTTGCCCCGGCCCGAGCTGCTGGATGGCTCTCACAGGTGAGCAGTATGAGTAGGGACAGGAGCCTGGATGGGTGAGGCCCATACTATGTGGCTGGAGTCCATGGAAGCCACCTGAGACAGCAGTGAGCAGTGTGGACAGAGGGCAACTCCACAGCCACTGTGGGTCATGGCTTAGTTTCAGGGACAAAGGAATAGAAATGGATTAAGGAAACTTAAAAACTGGGTAGGGGGCCGTCTCACTTCTTGATGGCAGCAGCTTTCTGAACTCAGAATTGATGGGGGCCAGGCATGGTAAGCACAGGCCTATCATCCCAGCACTCAGGAGGCTGAGGCAGTAGGATTGCCATGAGTTCAAGGCCAGCCTGAACTACTACACAGCACAACTCTCAAAACAAAAAATTGGGCTGGGAATTTAGCTTGGTGGTGCTACTGCCTGCCTCAAAAGTGCAAGGTCCCGAGTTCAATTGCTGGTACCAAAAAATTGATGGAGAAAGCAATTGAAGAAAATTCATGTAATATGACCACAGTCCTGCATGCCTGCCTAGTGTGCATAGGCCCAAGGTTTAATCCACGTAGGTGCAGGCCTGGCACTGTGTTCACCTCAGAACTGCCCAGCCCTGCCTGGGCAAGGGCACATTCTGAGGCTAGTGCCATTGAAATGTTTGCCTCCAGGGAGGGGCACATCTGGCACAGGCACAAGGGCATTTTCGGGCATCAAGACACAAGTGTGGACAAAGGTGAAAACACACTTCACACAACCATTGCAGACACCTGGCACCTGCACAAGGACCACAGGTGTTCTGATCCCACAGCTCACCCAAGCCACAGGCTGCACCCTGGTGATGTCCCCAGGTCTTAGTGGGGCCACTCACACGGCTGAGGACATTCATAACCAGACACCATGGGAGGTGTCCCTCCTGCCTTGTGGCAGGTTTGAACTTGTCTTGATCCCAGGGGCCACAGGAGGGGCTGCAGTAACGAGTCCTCCTTGGGACAGGAAGCTGGTGTCATGGTGTTTACTTGTAAGGATATGCCTTTTTGTATGTTAAAGTTTGAGCCATGTAAATGTATTTATTCCAAAAATAAATTTACATTTTAAAAATTTCTAATGCTAATTTTTCACAGTATCAACATTACTTGAGTCAAATCTCACAAAATAAACACAGAAAGACTTCTTCGGCAGTCCTTACTAGGGCTTTTAAATACGAGGAAATACTTATACTACAGGAAGGTGACAGGTCCTAGATTGGGGGGCTGGGGTACCAGGTTCCGCCCCAGCACCCACCCCGAAAGGTGGTGTGCAGAGAGTGCAGGTCTGGAAGAGACCTGGAGGAGCCCCGTGTTCATACACAGCCGGAGTGAACCTGGCAGCGTCCGGACCGCCGGGTCCTAAACAGCCTTTGGCAGGGTGAGCAGACCCGCCTTGGCTCCATGGGCCTGGGGTGGTGCGCGCAGGGGCCCCTCCGCCCGTCAGTCCTGCCACATGGGATACCTCCGCCAGCATGAGGAGCCTCCAGGAACTGGGTGTGAAGTTCCCGCACTGAAGGTGGAGCCCGTGTGCCTCAGCCCCGAGAAAGCACAAGCTAGGCCAGTTCTGGGCAGAGCTACTGCCTGAGACATCAAGGTCACCGCCACCATCTGCCAGGACTCGGACAGGAGTGGGTGGCTCGGCCGTCCCAGTGCTCTTCTGGGTCTGCCCGGGGCCAGCAGGCTCAGTGAGGCTGACTTAATGCCTGGGCAGCACCTCGCCCTCCTCCTTGCAGCCCTTCCTGAAGCCACACAGCATAGATAAGCTTCTGCCCTCCCCTGCACAGCGTCGCCCAGATAACCTGGGGTCCTGCTTATCTGCTGGGGTAAGGTCCAGGTCTCTGTGCCCACTGAGGCCACTGTGGGCCCGGCGTCCCATTGGCATGCTGCCTGCCCGAGCACTCACCATCCTCTTGCACCCTCCCATAGGACCCGCACTGCTGCTGCCTGCCCAGTCTTCCAGGGGGCGCCCACCCTGGGCAGGAGGCTGTCACTACAGGAGCAGCTGAGCGCAGATGGGGCTCCGCACCCCAAGACACTCACCTTCCCAGGCAAAGCCACGGGGCTCCATGAACCTCCCCAGCCCAGCCCCCAGGCCTCCCTGTGCATTCTCCAAAGGAAATGCTCCCGACTCTGAGAATGGGGCCCTCTGATGTCTCCAGCTGGTTAGTATCCCTGCCAAGCTCCAAGGCTGGGACAAGCAGGGCCATACAGCAGCCTGGTGCCTGGACCAGTGCAGGTGTCTAAGCACCCCCAACCCGGCCACAATACCCCACGGTGGGGTCATATCCTTTCCAGAGTCCTCTCCCCTAGGAACATGGAGGCAGCGTGGGCAGCAGCTGCCCCAAGACTGGCTGCTTTGCCCTGCGACTGGAGCCCTCCCTGCCTGGCAGGCCACCGGCCCCACGCTGAGACAGCGCTGGTCGAATTTCTCACACACCGGGCAGAAATCGGGCGGGGCCGCCTGGCCACAGGCTCCCCAGCCAGGGTTCCTCTCTCCTGAGATGGGACAATCGAGTCTGCCTCTTCATCACGTACAGAAGCCACTCTGCAGGGGATGGTGCACCGAGGCGGCCTCCTAACCCCAGTATCGGGGCTCCCAGAGCCCAAGCCTGCGCAGCGGCAGGTGGGTGACAGAGATGGAAAACGGGAGCTCAGGGACAAACCCAATTCCGGGAGGGGCAGCTGTGACATGAGGCGGGCAGCACGCACTGGGGTGCAGGGAGCTGGCCTGGGCCCCACCTGGGAGGCCCGAGCCCCAATCGGGCCAGCCCAGCTCAAAGGTCCCATGTGACTGGGAGCTTGCCCTAGCCCTTCCCCAGAGAGAGACGCGCCCAAGAAACCCTGCGGTGGGCCAGGTGAGACTGATGGACAGAAGGACAGATGGGCGGGGGGGACATGTATGGAAAGTGCTGGCACAGCGCTCCGGAAGCGGCCTAGCCCTTGCCCGTGAGGTCTAGGGGCTGCAGGAAGGGTGGCAGCGGCAGCTCGTCCAGGGCCTCGGGGAAGCGGCTGGGCGAGATGGCGGCAACCAGCACCTGCATGGCGCGCACGAAAAGCGAG